ACACATGTTGTCAGGTCTGGGGTCCCAAGTAGATATTTATGTGAGCCCCTGCTGAACAAATCACTGCATACTAATTTATATATAGCTACTCCTTACAACGTCAGTGAAGCATAGCGTGACGCGAAGGACAAGTGTGTATTGTACAACACACGGCGAACAGGTATACACACTCACCTGAACCAACCCGTGTACATGCATCAAGCTCTCAAGTACCTAAGGAACAAGCCTTTTGATAGTCTGGGAGAAAAATATTTTTTTTGCATGAGATTTTACATCAACAGAAACATAATACCTTATCAGTCGTTAAAAAGAAACATGGTCCTTCGCATTCGAGTGAGTGGGTTTAGTTTTACGCCACTGTTAGCAATATTCCAGCAATAGAAGGTCGGTGGACACCAGAATGGGCTTCACGCATAATACCAATATTGGAATCGAACCCGGGTCTTCGTTGTGACGAGTGAACGCTTTAACCACTAGGTTGAGCATGATGAATAGAGATACAGAAACACAGTACATGATACCGGAAGCACGGGTATCAAACAACTCCACAATATGATAACACACTGTGTAAATAGTGTTCTCAAATCCTTATATTGTCTTCTTATAGACATGACCGCCTCCGTGGTGTAGTGGTTAGATCGTCCGCCCGGAGAGCGGAAGGTCGTGGGTTCAGTCCCCGACCGCGTCATACCAAAAGACGTTAAAGTATGGTACTTGTTGGTCCCTGCCTGGCGCTCGGCATTAATGGGTACAACAAGGACTGGTCGGCTCGGAGTCAGTATAATGTGTCTGAGTGGGGTATTCATGCTTCACTGCCGCATGGTATCTCAGTGGGCTAGCACTATAAAACTAGCTTAGGGCTAGTACCAGCAGCCGCACATACACATACACACGCATGCACGTCGTCGTATTCTCAAGCACGACGTTAAACCCAATTTCACCTCACCATCTTATAGACATACTGTGTAGATAGTGTTTTAAATTCCTCATATTGTCTTCCTTAAGTCACACACACACACATACACACACACACGTTAATGATTGGCCATACACACCAATATTTTTGAATTCTTATTTCTTTCAATTTGTTTATGTTAGGAACACAAGATGATTACAGCCAACATTATATAACACATCGTCTAAGTACAAGCAAACCAGTTGACACGAAAAATGTCATCATAACCTGTTAAGTTGTGTCCTTGTATGCATACATTCCAATGACAGTAATCTAACACTCGCACCTGTTACACAATATCAAAGTTATTTCAATGCGTGGGTAGCTATTACTGTTAACATACATTAGAAGAGGACGACTGTCAAGTCTAAACACATGTAGAAGGGTGTCGGGTATTACCGAACAGCTACACCCATATCCCGACTAATTCCTGCTGTGTTTTATTACATTAAACAATGATTAATATATACAACAATCAATTAAATGTGCATCATATTCACGCAAAAAAGACGACTATATTCTCTCCAGCAAAACCTGATAGATATTCATATTTTTAACTCTCGTCGGAAGGCCGGGCACCCATGACATTCATGTCGAGCCATTCCCAACACTCTTGTCGGGCTATTCCAACCACATTTGTCAGGCTATTCCGAACGACCGGTGAAGATCAGCAGTAACCCATGCTTAACTGTAGCATGGTATCTCAGTGAGCTAGCACTATAAAAACAGCTTATAATTAAGTCTGGCTAGCACAAGCAGTCACACACACACACGCATGCACGTCGTCATATGAGCGAAATATTTTCAAGTACGACGTTAAACTCCATTTCACCCCACCTGTTATGTTTTACGATTTCATCATTCCACTCCCCTGCAGCTAGGTATTGCGGAGTTATGCCCCTTGTATTTGTGCACGTGTAGCATCTTTCTTCGTTAGACGTCGTAGAGGATATCGAATTTCCCTATTTATTGCAAGCCATTTTATATATTGAATGCATACCGCTATACCGCTATATAAATTTACAAAAAAATGTCCTAATGTGCCTTTATCAGTTTTTAAAAAAAAGTGGAGACATTTACTGTTTTGAGAACATAACAGACTTTCAAATAACACCTAAGGCAGTCATTTTTTTATTCCGTCTTAATATTTGCATTTGAATTCACACCATCAGGTAGTCAATATGATATTCTCCATGTTTGTGTAATTGTACTATTGCCGTAGGTAGCCCAAGTAGCGCAAAAGCTTTATCGCATAACGTCCACTTTTCAGATCCAATATACGATGTGCGTCCAGTGTGTTGATATGTTCAGTTTGTAATGAATATGATATTACCGTACACCAGTTAACATTTAAGTAAGTTGTAAGTGGAGACAAGCCTGGTGTCCGAACCCATTAATAATTACCCTAATTTTATTTCATTTGGTAAACTGAACATACGTAGGTATTTCAATATCAATTATCCCAAATATCCGTCTTTCGTTATGATAAATAGGCTTGAAATAGGTAGAAATATGTACTCGTATGTGTTTTCATTTAGCAGTAAAGTTGGAAATATTTTCTCTTCGACAATAACATTGTTTGTTGTGCTCTCCAGATGTCCACACATATGAGTAACCGGCATGCACATGTAGGTATTTCGGTGATATATATATGAGTTACCGGCATGCACATGTAGGTATTTCGGTGATATATATATGAGTTACCGGCATGCACATGTAGGTATTTCGGTGATATATATATGAGTTACCGGCATGCACATGTAGGTATGTCGGTGATATATATATGAGTTACCGGCATGCACATGTAGGTATGTCGGTGATATATATATGAGTTACCGGCATGCACATGTAGGTATGTCGGTGATATATATATATGAGTTACCGGCATGCACATGTAGGTATTTCGGTGATATATATATGAGTTACCGGCATGCACATGTAGGTATGTCGGTGATATATATATGAGTTACCGGCATGCACATGTAGGTATGTCGGTGATATATATATGAGTTACCGGCATGCACATGTAGGTATTTCGGTGATATATATATGAGTTACCGGCATGCACATGTAGGTATGTCGGATGATATATATATGAGTTACCGGCATGCACATGTAGGTATGTCGGTGATATATATATGAGTTACCGGCATGCACATGTAGGTATTTCGGTGATATATATATGAGTTACCGGCATGCACATGTAGGTATGTCGGTGATATATATATGAGTTACCGGCATGCACATGTAGGTATTTCGGTGATATATATATGAGTTACCGGCATGCACATGTAGGTATGTCGGTGATATATATATGAGTTACCGGCATGCACATGTAGGTATGTCGGTGATATATATATGAGTTACCGGCATGCACATGTAGGTATTTCGGTGATATATATATGAGTTACCGGCATGCACATGTAGGTATTTCGGTGATATATATATGAGTTACCGGCATGCACATGTAGGTATTTCGGTGATATATATATGAGTTACCGGCATGCACATGTAGGTATGTCGGTGATATATATATATATATGAGTTACCGGCATGCACATGTAGGTATGTCGGTGATATATATATATGAGTTACCGGCATGCACATGTAGTTATGTCGGTGATATATATATGAGTTACCGGCATGCACATGTAGGTATGTCGGTGATATATATATGAGTTACCGGCATGCACATGTAGGTATGTCGGTGATATATATATATGAGTTACCGGCATGCACATGTAGGTATGTCGGTGATATATATATATATGAGTTACCGGCATGCACATGTAGGTATGTCGGTGATATATATATGAGTTACCGGCATGCACATGTAGATATGTCGGTGATATATATATGAGTTACCGGCATGCACATGTAGGTATGTCGGTGATATATATATGAGTTACCGGCATGCACATGTAGATATGTCGGTGATATATATATATGAGTTACCGGCATGCACATGTAGGTATTTCGGTGATATATATATGAGTTACCGGCATGCACATGTAGGTATGTCGGTGATATATATATGAGTTACCGGCATGCACATGTAGTTATGTCGGTGATATATATATGAGTTACCGGCATGCACATGTAGGTATTTCGGTGATATATATATGAGAATATTTCATGCCCTCACAATTTTCAGACAAGGTTAAAATAAACTGCTTTGTCGTGTAGAACAAGCCGAGGTTGTATTGGAAAAACGGCGAAATGTTTGCGAAAGAAAACTTTACACTACGTTTACCGTTATTTTCTATCGAATATTGATATCAGGGCCCCAAACATCAGGAGTGCGTACTCCTTATTTGTTCAATATAGGATTACTGGAAAACCATAGAATACATTTAGAGTGCTGAATGGAATGTAATGGCGTATCAGTAATCTTGTGTTTTGTTTCATAAATGCACCACAACATTGCTGCTCTTGTGTAAACAGGTCAATAAACAATAAAACAATACTTTTTCAGATAAATACGTCTGTAAATAATTCTAAGACCTTTCACCATTGCTGTGGTGCGTATCTGCTACGTTTTCTGAATTATTTCCTACCATATCGTGTATATTTTCCATCCGTACTTACGTCGATACGGCCCTTATCTGGAGTCAGATGCGACTACCCATGACGTTACGACTATCTTAAGCTAAGAGGGCTTCGAAAATCTAGACCCAGGATATCATACTAAATATACGAAGATAATAAGTGTGGAAAAGTCATTTCCGATCCAATTTCAGTTTTCTTTCTGGCATTGTCTTACAAAACGACATAAAATGGTTCAGGAAGATCCTCAGTAAAGTTTTCACAAAAACGCAGCGCGTACGTCTATGAAATATTAAATAATGAAAAGTTATATTGTGGATGTCTGTTAATTCGAAGCCATTGAGTTACCATCTCTTTGGCATGTACCGGATCTTGTATCGCGATATGAGAAATGGCGTCAGTTTACTGAGAACTTGCATTGGCGCAAGTTGACGGCGCGCACGGGGAAGCGGGACCCAGCTGAGAGCACCGGAGCGAATAGCAACGCCCTTTACGGTGCCTTACAATGACGTCACAATGTCTGTTTATGACGTGGTGTCGTTTATTATGACGTCACTTTTCAATCCCCGTTAACTGAAGTTTAGAGTGGAAATAACTTCATGGTAAGTATCACTATTAGTTACCATTGATATACAGACTCGTGCCAGTTGAGGTAATTTCCATAGAGTTACATATTATTTCAGTGTAGCATACATAATTTTCATGAAGGGAATTTAGGATGTATCTTTGTAAAATGTGACAGGCAAATGTGAAATCATCTCTGCTCTGCGCACATAAATTCAGCTCAATGTTACGACCACTATTGGTCCCCCACTATTTAACTAATGACATCACATTTATCAACTTATGTATGTTTCCACAATGCACATAGGCCGCCATGCTAAAGGAGTTCACGGCACTGTACATACGTCGATAAAATTATTTCCATTCCATAAATAAGCAACGGAAGATAAAACAGAAATTGTGTGACTGTAGGTAAGATTATTCCTCACAAATGTGCCAAATTTGACTTGGATCTTACGAAAATTAAATTCATGAAAATTATTTAAGCTACACTAACTTAACATGTAAGTCTATGGAAATTACGTCAAGTGTCTGAATATAACTGGCACGGGTCTGTAGCTTGCATTTCACGCGAGACCATACAATTTGCCCTAGTCGTGCCTACAATGCAGTGAATGTCTTACTGTGTTCACAGTTTAATAGATCTGGAAATTCAAAGATTTCTTATTTTGCGGACTTTTTCACTTCTCTCGTTCGTGCTCCTATATTTTGCTGGCCCCATGTCAGAGAAGTTTATGTTCTTTCGCAATTAATCACTTATTTGACGTTATTCTCGGTGTACTGAAGACGCGAAAATGTGCTGCATAGGGTATATCAGCTCATCAAACAAAAGTACAATGTGAATACACCATTTACCAACTTACACTTATCAGAGGGGGGGCTCTGGGGTACCCAAAGTCTGTGGTCAAGACTACCTGTTGTCCGACTTCCATTTTGTAGAAGCCGTGGTGGGAAAGTGGTTAGACGGCTGACTTTGTATATTGGTGAGACGTTTCTGACTTTGTATGTTGGTGAGACGTGTCTGACTTAGTATGTTGGTGAGACGTGTCTGACTTTGTAAGTTGGTGAGACGTGTCTGACTTTGTATGTTGGTGAGACGTGTCTGACTTTGTATGTTGGTGAGACGTGTCTGACTTTGTATATTGGTGGGACGTGTCTGACTTTGTATGTTGGTGAGACGTGTCTGACTTTGTATGTTGGTGAGACGTGTCCGACTCTCAGAATGCGGGTTTGTTTGTTTGTTTGAACATATTTTATTCAATGTTGAAATGGATTGAGCACAAGTTATGTAACTTATTGCCGCCCGCTCCCATCAGAAACAGATTAACAATGGACGTAATGAATGGTCATAATACTATTGAGACATATTATTCATCAATCGAAGCTAAAATCTGTACTTTACTCAGAAAATGTAATCCGAAATATAACATGTGTTGCAAATGTACACTGTGTGATTGCTTCAAATTCCAAAGCGAAAAACCCGATTTATATACCTTTGTTTATCTAGAAACAGGATGCCTTATACAGGTAAAGACCCGGGGTTTGATTACAACGTGGGTACAATGTGTGAAGCACATCTCTGTTGTCCCGTGCAGTGATTAAGTTGAAATATTACTGAAGGTGGCGTAGAACCCGACTCACTCACCTCACTTGAGGTGGGAAGGTGTGTGTGTCAATGGATATATGTATCTTGTTCTTCGAGGCTATCTTAGCAGTAAGACTTGGTAAGTCTCTGTCGAAGATGGGAGCTTTGTCGCAGCATGCAACGGGTCCATGTCCTATTACCGATTTTTAAAGATCAGGGTCCCGTTCCACTAACCGATCTCAACTAAGATCAATCTTAACAAGTTACGCCAAATTTACAATCGTCTTAGCTAAAAGTTACACCCGTTCCACTAGCCGATTTTAGGCCGATCGTAGCCGGTCCCGATCTTACGATCCGATCCTAGCTAAGATCGAGACTCTTTCGTGCGAGAGAGATAGAGGCATGCGAGGCACGAGTTATTTCCCTTTGCATAGTATAGCAAATTTTGGAAGTAGTTTACGAACCAACTGAGTGAGTGAGTGAGTGAGTTTAGATTTACGCCGCACTCAGCAATAGTCAAGCTATATCGCGGCGGTCTGTAAATAATCTAGCTAATTAAGATGCATAGCGTTCACTAACATGAGCGTTCATGTTAGTGAACGCTATGTATCTTAGCTATAAATAATCGAGTCTGGACCAGACAATCCAGTGATCAACAGCATGAGGATCGATCTGCGCAGTTGGGAACCGATGACATGTGTCAACCACCCGATCCCGTTAGTGGCCACTTACGACAAGCATTGGTTATTGAAGTTCAATATTCTAATCCAGGCCTTCATGGGTATTTTTCCAACCAAGTGTAAACGTGGAGAAAAAAACCTAGAGCAAAATATTAGGGGTAGTGAGCACCTTGGTTTCAGGTGCAAGTGTGTGTGAACGCTGGGTATCAGGCATAATATAATAATAATAAATGCATATTTATAGTGCGCCTATTCCACATCCTGGGGCATGCTCAAAGCGCTATGTACAGATAATTTACACGAGAGTATTTACAGCCGAGATTATAAGTAATATACTGAGAACAGGTTTTAAGTCTGGGCTTAAAAATGTCAATTGTGTCAGAGCTTTTATTATATGCCTGAACCTTGTCAATCAGAACAAACAAGGCGTGACGAGGCATCCTCTATAACGTATCTAGAGTCTGTCAGTGGTCTTGAATAACACGCGGCTTGCCATGACGTTGCAATATTGTTGTACAAATGTGTTACACCGACTCGCTCGGTTGTGTTCCCATGACAACAGTGGTCAGACTGGCCTGACATTTGTAAGGCTTCAGTGCAGTGTTTGTTTACATGACAGAAATATACAAATTCATTTCATGGGGGATTTTAGGGGACGCTCACGGTGAAATGCTCGCTCTTATTTTTCACATAGAATAGGAAAGCCACCATTTTGGTTTCTCTACGATTGATTTTAGCTATTCTAAGTTGGTCATGAGCAACTTAGACTTTGAATCTTAACTTTACGATTGACTTGGGTAAGATTGGTTAGTGGAACGGTATGCCGATCGTGACGTCACGCTAAGATTTGGATTTGAGGGGTTTAAGATTGGCGTAGGGCTAAGATCGGTTAGTGGAACGGCACCCAGGGCCTAGATTTTCGAAGTTCTCTTAGCGCTAAGATAGTCGTAAGTGCCATACATTAACATTAATGATCAGGGACAGATCCAAGTCTCGGAAGGGCGATGGGGTAGCCTAGCGGTAACAGCGTTCACTCGTCACGCATGGGTACAATGTGTGAATACCATTTTTTGGTGCCCCCCGCCGTGATGGAATATTGCTAATAATGCTGGAACATTGCTAAAAGTGTGGCTTAAAACCATACTCACTCACTCACAGTCTTGGATCTGTTTTCACTCTCGGAGGAATTTGAGGGTGTAGGCGTTGCAATGGCGCGATACAGCATGTTTATGGCGTTGCAAAATATATCAGCAAAATGATTAAGAAGCTAGAAAGGAATTGATCTAGGTGTTGATGGACCGGCAGAAGTATTTGAAACACACGACAAGTTCAATGATTAAAATTTGAATGAGGTAGTCAATGAAGGCTGACTGACTGAGTTTAGTTTTACGCCGCTTTTAGCAATATTCCAGCAATATCACGGCGGGGGACACCAGAAATGGGCTTAACACATTTTACCGATGTGGGGAATCGAACCCGGGTCTTCGGCGTGACGAGTCAACGCTTTAACCACTAGGCTACCCCACCACCCCGGTGAGGTAGTCAATGAAGGACCCAAATGCTGCAGTTGACCCCTCGGAGGAGTGAGGATATTGAAAGGAAGGGAGGGCAACGTTCCTTGGATTATTGGATTATAACCACGCACACACGTCATTAATCCACGGAAACAGACACACTAAAATCAAATCACGACAAAACTAGACGAAACGGTGTCACCTCACATTATGTACAAATGCCAAAATGATAGCTTGTTTGAACATATTATTCAGTATTGAAAGGGATTGGGCACAAGTTATTCAACCTACTTAAGCCCGATCCCGAAAATTACATGGAAATTATACACGTGATGGACAATGAACAGAGGCAAGACATATTACACATTAATTGAAACGCTTACTACGTACAATGAATTTATGACTTAACTAAAACTATTTTCATTTATAGCTTGTGACAGACTAAGGCTGACGTACAGAGTGGTGTTAATATCTAAGCCAACTTTTAGGATTTCAAAGCTTTGTATCAAATCAAACCGGCAACTGACATACTTTGGACATTTTAAAAAAGAAATGACTGGCATCTTCCACCAGAGCACCACAAAGGCAAGCTTTACTTTCAGATACATTGACACGAAAAAGATCAGCATTTAAAGAACTACACGGATGTCTTAACTTAGTGTGTAGAATATTAATCTTCCTTTCACCAAATAGGAAATAATTAGGAATTGTTCCGGGTAATTTAACTTTAAATGATGGTAATGAATGATGTCTATAAGACAATTATCCCAAACGTCAGAAGCATATTCTAAGATATTATATTTCATGCATGCTTGAGAATATTTCTTGGTACGACGTATTTTAACGCCCATAATGTTAGTTAGACAAAGTATGTTTTTTAATTACTTTGTATTTGACTATTGTAGTTATTGCGTTGTTGCTGTTGTTGTTGCTGTTGTGCTGATGACACGTTGCTGTGTTGCAGACCCGTCGTTGATGCCTGGGGTGGAGGGAACCGGGTACGTGCCTTATGTTCCCGACAAGGTGCCCATCTCGGGAGAGTACTCCTCCATTGTAGGGGGCGCTGAGATGGTGACGTCACCTAAAAGGAAAGGGGGCGTGGCGAAAACGTCCGACATCAAGATATCACTCGGGGGTAAGTGTATAACCCACGTGTATCCCTCAATATGTCAGCAGGTAATAATTATATACACAACAATCTGACATATAGCGCTTGGGAGAATTGGCGCACACTTTCTTAACTTATATTCAGCGTGCCAGTCAGTTGACTTTAAGCGTGTCTGTGATCTATAGTATATAACCTGTCGCTTGAATACATCACGAATGATTAATACGTTATACATTTAATTTTCGCAAACTGCTTTTGGTGTTATATAATACCCCAGTAGGCGGTCCGAGAATTTGACCTAGAATAATAAACTTGAAACTTGATCAACGCAATAAGGATACGATGGCATGCATTCGCCCAAGTTACCCGTGAAGATCCGGGTAGTCTTCAGAAACCCATGCTTCACTGTACCTAAGGTAAGGTGATGCTGGTGACGCACCTTACCAGGATCTCAACATGGCGGCGGATAAGATCGCTTGGCGATTATTCCCCTCGAATAAGCAGCCTTCAACTTGTACACAATCAGCATTATTTAGCACACTGATAAACTTTGATGGTGTGAATACATTGAATGCACTGAATTTGCTTATTAATGTCTTTGTTGAAGAATAAGCACTTTTAATTTTAATATCTAGTATATAGCTTCATGCCAAGTGCAACGTGCGTTACCAGCATCATCTTAGGTACAGTGATGCTTGTCGTAAAAGGCGACTGACAGGATCGGTGGTCAGTCCGGCTCACCTGGATGACACATGTCATCGTATCCCAATTGCGTAGAACGATGCTCATGCTGTTGATCACAGGATTGTCTTGTCCAGTTATAGTTCGCTTCATTATAGCTTGAATATTGCTCAGTTTGGCGTTAAACAACAAATAACAAACAAAACAAAACATTTGCCCAAGTCTCAGACCCTTATGACTCAATCCGTTTAGTCGCTATAAACGACAAGTACGGGCTGCTAAGTACCTTATAAGTGTACCCGCAACCCCCACAGGTCGCAAATACATAAAACACAACTGCAGATTGATAAATAGAGGATATTATGTGAGTGGCCTTGTCATACTATGTTTACGACACGAGTGCCTAAATGTTGGTATTTCCCAAGCGAAAGCGAGGGATATACCGATATTTAGGCACGAGTGTCGTAAACAAAAGTATGATATGGAAACGAATATAATATTCTGTTTATTACCTAAGTCGTTAAATTGAGGAAATAAACCCAAATCTGCTTCAATCATAGGCTTGCTGCCCGCCGTCGCCGAATGTATTACGCAACGTCATAGAAGAAACGTGACGTGTAGTTCATAACGTCGCTTTATTTCATTTAATTATAGCGTTGTGTGTTACTTGCAATTGTGTGCTGCAGGGGTGTTGTTTGTGCTAGTCAGGGCTTCTGCCGGTTTGTATTCCCTATGTCGACCAGTATTTGTTTTAACCCCTTAATGCCGAGTGCAAGGCAAGGCAACAACAAGTACCATAGTAGAACGTATTTCGTTATAACGCGGTCATGGTAAAGCGTAAAGCTTAGCCATGACTAGTCCTCAAGCCCCAATTGCAAATATTATAACTCTATTCGATGTTCAACTCCGGACAGGAATATCAACAAATGGGTTTTGTCTCCGTTTTCTTTCATTGTGGGATTTTATTAGCGCTTAAAATGGAACTTATTGGAACCTGCGGATTCTTTATGGCAACAAGTGTTTTTGGTTTTTATTGTCAAGGTGCCCAATCGTCGTCGATGTCGATGCTAGATATTGAGCGACGTCACGCTGCCTCTGCAATGCGTGTCGACAGGTCTGAACTAGCCCATCAGCAGTCAGTGTGGGACATCGTTGGCAACACCCTGGTGCGTTGCTACCGAGCAGTGGTCGGTGAAGACAATGACAGCTACAGAGCCCAGCATGATGACAGAGAATAGCCATTGTTTTTGTTTTGTTGTTTTTTTCATGAAATAATGATAAAAAAAATCAAATTCAGGAAACATTCATTGCGTTTCTTTGCAATTACAGAAGCGAACAAGCACATGGTGGCGTTTTAATTGCTTTGTGCAATGCCCATTATATTTTAGGGAATAGTGAAATTAATGTCGCAGAATGTTGTTGCTTTTGAAGGTATGAGAAGTGATTAATCCAAAAACCTACCAGAGATTACTACATGTGGCTGAGGTGTGTCCCTTTATGCCTCGCCCGTGGAAGATACTGCAGTGTAATATTTTTACGGCAATATTACTATAAGGGTAGTGTTATTTTTGAGGGCATTATCGTTTGCCTGAGGTCTTCCATTAACTGCCCGACGAAGGAGGGACAATTGAAAAAACGAGGGCTTCTGCAAATGATAATGCCCTCAAAAATAACATTACCGTTATTATTACTAACATACATGGAATTTGTTTTGAAAAGAAAAAGGAAACAAAGAAGGAATTGACTGTAAGTTTACTCAAAACCAACTTCTGACGGGGTTGACTGACCGAATGCAATTACGTCATCGAACAATTCAAGTGACGTCACAACAGAAAGTGACGATATTCGACCTTGGCCTTTGACAAGACCATAGCCTGCAACATGTCAGACTATGTCAGTGTTTGGTTTTGGTCCATCAACAGCCTTAATAGTGCAATTGTTAAGGTTAGCACCAGCAAGAAAGCCAATATTACCGCTATTTAAAACGGGAATTCGGGTTGCTTTGACTTGTTTGACCCAGAATATCTGCCAGTCGAAAGCCAATTAATGTTGAATGAACCGTAAGCCCACGCACCCACTATGGCGTCACTTGACAACAGAACTGATAGTGGCCCGTCGTTAAGGTTGAGCGGTCCAATATCATTTGCAGCGGCCCGCAAATCTCTGATAATGGGAAGGCCGTTTCATGATAATTCCATGTATTTTAGCTATAAACTAGTGTAATACCGCTAGACGTATGACGTCATAATGGTTACAGTTATGACGTCATAATGCTTATACCTCTGTCACAATGGTATTAGACCTTGCTTGACTCGTAGAAAGCTGAGAGTCATTACACTTCGTAGGCAGTTTCTATCAGTTTATGTTTATGTTTAAGTCCCTGTCAGATATATAGAGGATACTAAACGACCTTCCGTGAAATGCCATTTTTTATCAAACGAGTTAATGGTTAGGTATCAAACGATCGAAAGCGAGGTTGATGCTAAATCTTTCAGGAGTTGTGTAATTTGGAAAATAGTTATTCCATGCACAACGTGTTATGAATGTCGAGCAAATACGCCAATTTTGTGCACGCGTTTTTCATGATTCGCATGCACACTTGGTCGGGGTCGGAAATTTATAATGAAACGTGTAAGACAAAGGGGTTCCCATATTGTGTAAGATTCAAATGTTAAATAGCATGCATCTGACACGTCAGGACAGACAACTGGCATTTATGAAGTAGGAAAAAGACAGAATTGTGGCATGAGCTCTGAGCTTTTCAAAGTCAGTAGTCAGGAGATTACAATCGCGATATCCACAGACAAATAACTTTGATCAATGACAGACGCTGATCTGGTCCACCAAGGACGAAGACTGGCGTACATTATCGTGGTCAAAGTGCGTCTGAAATTGTAGATGCGCTTCAAAGAGCTACAGGTGTTTGGGTGAGTGGACAGACGATTTGTAATCGGCTACACAGAAGGAACATGTATGCCTGACGTCCACTGGTTATCGAAAGATTGCTGTACCGTCACATAACTGCAAGACGTCGTTGGTGTCAAGAGCAGGAGCGCTGGACCAATTGTCAATCTATCAATCTTTATTTCAGTTCTAAGGAGGCCAAAGTCCTATAGTACATTTCATATACATGTATATACAATTTTCTTATCAACATGGCTTGATAAGTGAAAACTGCAACATTTTGAATTACAAATTCATTTGAACAATTCAACAGAGACGAAAACGTATCAGCTGATGGATGGACAAAAAAGAGTTCTTTAATATATTTATAACATGTTATATTTGGGATTACACTTTCTTAGTAAAGTACAGATTCTAGTACTTTTTAGGTTTGTGTCCCATCCGATTCGAACCCACACCCTCAGAGTCAGGCACCTAATCGCCAGCACACAAGGTCAGACGCCTAGACTGCTCAGCCACCAAAAAGTACTCGACTCAACCCAAAAAGTACTCGAATCTGTACTTTCCTAAGGAAGTGTAATCCCAAATAAAACATATGTTACATTTGACCCCTTTCTAAAATGGCATTGTGCATTTAATATATTTTTTTGACGCATAGTATTATCTGCTGGGCATTGTAAAGAAAATTACATTCGACAACATTATTATTACAACATTTACAGATTCTATCCTCTCTTTTGATATTCATTATAAGGGGCGGTGGGGTAGCCTAGTGGTTAAAGCGTTCGCTCGTCACGCCGAAGACCCGGGTTCGATTCCCCACATGGATACACTGTATGAAGCCCATTTCTGGTGTCCCCCTTCGTGATATTGCTGGAATATTGCTAAAAAGCGGCGTAAAACCATACTCACTCACTCACTTTGATATTCATAAACCTACCTTGGACTTCACTGACAGGCGTAAAGGAGGAAGTGTTGCACGTTTCATGCCGCTAACGTTAGACAGTACGATTGGGTGGCTCAGTCATGGTGTTGTGTGGGATCATTCTGACTGGCTGAACACCTTGTTATCGAACAGCCCTGAGATATCCTTGACAGGATAAGTCACCGCCAACAACCATCGACCACTTTCAACGAACTTGGCGCTGCGGGAAGAATAGGCTAGAACGAACCAAGCTGACACTACGGCATATTGTATCCATGGCTTTCTTGAGAATAGAGGCGGATTCACGAGAGTTTCAATGAGTTTGAATTTTCCCCCTAATGACGTAATGGTGTCTACAGTGCCTTTTTTAGAAATCCAGCAAAATGTACGCCACAACACAATCATCGAAGCGCTTCTCGACCCTTCGCCGGAAGTATAACCAAGGGCGGGTAACTCTAATTTACACTTAACAGGGGAAATTGCATTGCCTTAGTTCAAGATGAGATCAAATCCACACTCAGCGCTTTAAACTTTTGTGACATTTCAATTAACAAAAACACATCCTCATAACAATAAAAACAAAAATTGAAGTATATTTTGCTATTATAAATGTTCAAAACAAAACGAGACAACACGGCAACTTTAATAAAAATAGCTACTTATACTGCAAGAGTGGAACCTTTAGGATTTTGTTATGCATTACACTTGAACACTTCCCGGGAGAGTGTTAAGTTTAGACACTGAGCGTCGCTCTTAAATGAAGTGTTTTCAATCAGTTTGCGGATGTTTGCATTGAAAGCAAACACCTTGGATTAAGAGTGTGATATTGACGAACTCTGTCTGTTGATAAAGTTTCAATATCGTTATAAACGGTATCATCATCGTTATCCTCATTACAGGGGGCGGTGGGGTAGCCTAGTGGTTAAAGCGTTGGCTCGTCACGCCGAAGACCCGGGTTCGAATCCCCACATGGGTACAATGTGTGAAGCTCATTTCTGGTGTCCCCCGCCGTGATGTTGCTGGAATATTGCTAAAAGCGGCGTAAAACTAAACTCAGTCAGTCAGTCAGTATCCTCATTACAGTTAAAGTGATGACCTTGACGATTGACACCTTGGAAACTCTCAAGACTGCAATAGGACGCTCATACACGTGCAGTGTCCTTGCATCAGTCAAGGAATCGGACAGCACTCTGAAGACATCGGAAAGTGTGAATGTGCACCACGAATAAGTACCCGCCATGTTCCCTTTACTACGAGTCATGTCTCCGTGATGTTATCTGTACCACGCACAATGTACCCGTCATGTTCCCTTTACTACGTGTCATGCCTCCGTCATGTTATCTGTACCACGCATAATGTACCCGTCATGTTCAATTTATTACGTTATTACGTTGCATGTCTCTGTGGATGTTATCTGTACCAATGTTATAATGTACCCGTGATGTTCCTTTACTACGTGGCATGACCCCGTGATGTTATCTGTACCCACGTATAATGTACCCGTCATGTTCCCTTTACTACGTGGCATGACCCCAACATGGTATCTGTACCACGTATAATGTACCCGTCATGTTCCCTTTACTACGTGGCATGACCCCGTGATGTTATCTGTACCACGTATAATGTACCCGTCATGTTCCCTTTACTACGTGGCATGACCCCGTGATGTTATCTGTACCACGCATAATGTACCCGTCATGTTCCCATTACTACGTGTCATGCCTCCGTCATGTTATCTGTACCACGCATAATGTACCCGTCATCTTCAATTTATTACGTTGCATGTCCCTGTGGTGTTATATGTACCACGCATAATGTACCCGTGATGTTCCCTTTACTATGTGGCATGTCTCTGTGATGTTATCTGTACCACGTATAATGTACCCGTCATGTTCCCTTTACCACGTGGCATGCCTCCGTGATGTTATCTGTACCACGTGTAATGTACCCGTCATGTTCCCTTTACTACGTGGTATGTCTCCGTGATGTTATCTGTACCACGCATAATGTACCCGTCATGTTCCCTTTACTACGTGGTATGTCTCCGTCATGTTATCTGTACCACGTATAATGTACCCGTCATGTTCCCTTTACTACGTGTCATGCCTCCGTCATGTTATCTGTACCACGCATAATGTACCCGTCATGTTCAATTTATTACGTCGCATGTCCCTGTGGTGTTATATGTACCACGTATAATGTACCCATCATGTTCCCTTTACTACGTGGCATGACCCCGTCATATTATCTGTACCACGTATAATGTACCCGTCATGTTCCCTTTACTACGTGGCATGACCCCATGATGTTATCTGTACCACGCATAATATACCCGTAATGTTCCCTTTACTACGTGTCCTGTCTCCGTGATGTTACCTGTACCACGCATAATGTACCCGTCATGTTCCCTTTACTACGTGTCATGCCTCCGTCATGTTATCTGTACCACGCATAATGTACCCGTCATGTTCAATTT